AGAATAATATGGTCTGTTTTTTTTTTCCATGTAGGTATTGCAACTTCATTTGTTGGAGATATTAGTGTTGTCTCAATCGTTTTTGGAATGGATATTGATTCTTTCTCTTTATCAAAAATGAGCTTCTACTTTTCTTCAATTTCAAACTTCATTTGATTTTTTGTTTCTATACAATATACCAAGAGCCAGGCCAATCTTTGGTAGTTATGCTATTTTTAACAATTTGTTTTATTTTTTGAGAAGGAGGTTTATTGGTGCCCCAGTTTTTGTGAAGAACATCTTCAATACAACCTCTTCTTTTTTTCAATGTTTTTTGTTACTTCTTTTCTGGAATTTTTAAGTTTTCAAAAAATACTCTCTGATGCCATACTAGAACTACATATGAGCAATAGCAATAAATTGTGTGTAACTATTTTGTTGTAAATCATATTGAAAGTACAATGTATATGCTGCCGAGATTGTCTACAGTCTACGATTTGGTTATTCTAACTTTGTACTCCAATACCTCTGCCCTTAATACTCATCTTCCACGCCCGCTCATAGCACATCAAACTTCACCACTACTTCATCCAAGCTTAAGTGCTAGAGACGAACATTTCCATTTTTCAACTCAATTCTAAACTCCAAACTGGGGTTATCATGACCAAGTCTCTTGGCCGAAATCTTTTAAAAAACACTGCCTGTGAGTAGAGGTCAGGTCCCTTGCACACATTCCACAAAGTTGCAATCATCCAGGCATTCCATTACTTGCACGGTTGTCTCTTCAAGCACTCTACTTAATACCAGATTGAAGGGGAAGGTGGGGGGGGGGGGGGATGTGTGTTGGAATTTATTCTTATATCTGTGGATTGTCATGAGTATTTTTGGAATGAGACGGCTGCAGAGACTTGCCATTGCCGGTGTTGAGAGCTGCAAGTCTTCTTCATCGGCTTTAGTCCTGTGTGATGTTGTCAGAAGCGTTACACGACTTTATCACCCGGTCACGTCGACTTTCCAAACCTCCAACGCAGGCTTTTTCGTGCGGATTTCATTTGTGGCGACCTGATCCGATGCGGCGGTAGAAAGTTGCTCAGAACAGCATTTGCTCTGCGCGACAATCTCTCGCAGTGGGGTGGATTCTTCCTGGGAGACGCATTTTCTACTTTTCCAGCGCATGCTGGTAGTCCATCTTGCACATGCTGATTCAACAAGCGCGATGAAACCTGGCAGGGATTGCACCGAAAGGTATATCATCAAACTCATACTCAGACTTTGTGACGCCATAAAGCGAACACGAGCCCAAATACTTATATAAATAAGGTATGAATCGATACGGTGAGTTGCAGGTGATCAACATCGAGGATGTCGTTGCGAACCATTTCTGACGCTGCTCGGATGACGACGACTGACGTCGAGTTCCTCAGTGGAACCACCGCAGCAATTGCACCAACGACGACGTCGTGAATGATGCGACGGAGTATCCAACTGGGTAGCATCCTAGGCAATACAAATCTGAGACTGATCATGCTTCGTTGCGTATCTGCTCGCAAGCTGCACGCGGTATCGCATATAACTGGATTCGTCTTCTGGATTCATGTATTTGGATCTTGACCTCTTCCAATGCAACACTGGTGCTCCGAATACGTCGATGCTTGACATGCGACAGCCGCTCTGTGGATATGGGCATGCCACTTAAGCAAGTACGTGTCTCACAATGGTTAATGTCCTTTTTTGTATTAATGTTGGAGGGCATTGGACATTCAAATTTGAATAAGCATGCAAGTGGATTATAGTGAATTTAAAATGTTTAAAAGAAAAGATTGGTTCAATGAATAGTGTGATTGAAAGCAAAATAAAGATTACAACTGAGTTTTTTGTTTGTTTTTATGATGATTTGATAATTTTTGCATTATTTATTTTATCACAATATTCATGAGATTTGTCATCAAACAAATTATTATATATATATATATATATATATATATATATACACACACCTAATTATTAATTTTATAATCATCAAACTTTGTTGGTGTATGTAGAATTTGATCTTTGAAAATTCTTAACTTATATATAGCTAGCGTGCAAATGATTTTACTTTTTTTTTTTTTTTTTTTTATAATTTTCATAATATTGTCATTGCCAATGTATTCATATTATAAATCAAATAGCTCATAAGAGAGATGAGTTGGCAAAACAACATTGGAACAACTCCTAATAACATATTGTAGCAAGTTTTAGTGTCACCTTGCAAAATCTCTATAAATAAAATTTGTTAAGGTAGGCCGTTTTCTTATTTTATAATTTAATAATTTATTCAAGAATGATTCTTTTTACTACATTACCATACAAACTCGTACCTTCCCAAAGTAGAAGTTCACCTACTTCCGCGTGGTCAACTTCTCTATAGGGCAGCGCTACGAAATTTCGTTCAGGGGGACGGGAAAATTTTCTGGCCTCTCAATCACTGGCTTTTGTGCATAAAAGCAGGAATCGGAAGCCAAAGAGCAACAAGAATGCATAAGTTTATGTATATATATATATATATATATATATAGATATACATGCATGATTGTTTATAAAAGTGTACAAATGTGCATGTCAATCTAGTGGGTCTATCTGCGTGAGTCGGGTACCAATCCCCGAGAATCGGCGATAACTTGCATACATGTGGATTGCCTTCTACAATAGAGGCAAGCATCGATCACTGTTGCGAATCCTCAAGTTGCAAGTGGACATACCACATGCCGCCTCCTTGATCTGCCAGATGCTTACCAGCTAGTCTCGAGGTCGTGATTCATATTTGCCTGATTGAGTAGGTTTGACAGTATATTGAGCTGCGAGCTTCCAGTTCGACGACAACGACGACAACAACGTCGACTTCCCCCAGTGCCGAAGGATTTATTGGCCGACACTAGGTTTAGAAACAATCTATAGAAGCTCCCGAAGTAGGTCCGTGATCCAGTTGTTTTCGATTGTGTGTCGTCTGAACCGCTTTCGACTGAACGTCCATCAATTCCAGAAACGAGCCTCTGGTTGCCTATTCGAAGTTTTTGATCTCGAGGATTCTCACAGAGAAGGCCCTCAGGCTCTGTTGTACAGGGCTGGTGCATGTTCATTGTTAACAATGCCTACCGACAACGAGTTCAGGGATACGCACGAACCACCACCAGCCCCGATTCTTGCCAGGGATGAATTTAATGAGTGGTCGTTCTATAGAGCGATTATCGCGGAATTTATCGCGACGTTGCTCTTCCTATACGTCAGTCTCACCACTCTGATGGGAACCACCAGGATCTTCGGGGGAAGCGTTGGCCTTATTGAAACCGCCTGGGCATTCGGAGGTATGATCTTCATTTTGGTCTACTGCACTGCGGGGATCTCAGGTGAGTACCAACTCAAAGATACGACTCTATTGATTTGGCATGCTGTGAAATCCATCCAAATTAAATTATTTATTTAGTTATGGGTGTTTGTCCGTTTGTTTTTCTGTGAATTTAATTTCGTGAGTGATTTTCAGGTGGGCACATCAATCCAGCTGTGACGTTTGGTCTGTTCCTCGCACAACAAGTGACACTGCCGAGAGCTTCAGCCTACATTGTGGCGCAGTGCTTGGGAGCCATAGTTGGCGCTGCTATTGCAAGAGGTGTTCAAGAAGGCGGAGAATACCGCAGCTTTGCCAGCAACGCCGTGAACGGAGTGCAGCCTGGTTATAACATCGGCCAAGCTCTGGCTGCCGAGATAATGGGCACGTTTGTGCTCCTCTACACCGTGCTGTCCGCGACGGACCCAACGCGTAAAGCTCGAGATTCTCATGTTCCTGTAGGAATCGATTCAGACTTGCCTTGCCCTTCTCTTTTTACCTCAGACGTCAGCATTAGGCAAATAATTGTTATTAATTGGTTGTTCGTCTTTTCCCAACTCGATCAACTTTCTCACTTGTGTAGAACCACCAGGGTTTAAGTTCGGTGGAATTAGATCTTGTTGTTCACTGTTGATGGTTAAAATGCAGATGTTCATTTTTTGAAGCCGTTGCGAGATGCAGGTATTGGCTCCACTGCCAATTGGCTTTGCAATTTTTGTGGTCCACCTTGCAACCATCCCGATTACTGGAACAGGTATCAATCCAGCTCGAAGCTTAGGCGCGGCAGTTGCCAAGAAGTACTGACAAATGGCAGCACCATGTAAGTCTAGCTCGAATCTCCTCTTACAGTCCCTTCCATGCTTCTGGCTATTTTTCAAGCTAAATGTCTATTATTAGACGTATTACGCCGGCGATCTCATTGAGCCAGGAATGGATTGGCTCACTAAAAAGCTTTTGATGGTCAGCGAGTTGCTAATTGCTGATGGTGTTGTTGCTTGATTTCTCATGTGAAGTGGATCTTTTGGGTGGGACCGATCGTCGGATCTACTTGCGCTGCGATATACTACACGTATGTGCTAAAAGCTGCATCATTAAGGTTCAGAAGTCTCTATGAATAAGCAAACAATACAAAATAATACTGACAGATTGTCAAGAAGTTGGGATGACTATTGGTATGCATGTGAGAATCAGAATATCTCAGTCGTCCAAATCATGGGCTACTCACGTTTGTCATGCAGTTTCGCATATCTTGCACATAGATCTAGAATTCCACGGAATGATATCCTATTTACTTTTATAACAGATCTTTGTTTTCATGGCTAGCTGATCAATACCGTATGGGACCACGGATTAGTACTTGCGTCAGTGGTTTTCTCTTGAATGTGATTTCGACCCCCATTTTTTCAGAACTTCATACACTACCCCAGACTCTGTAAATGATTAGGTAACTTGCAAACAGACGAAGACTTTGCTTCTATGGAATACACTCCGCCAAAATGTTTTAACAGACCATAAACTATATGTAACTGCTTCCTTCTAATGCATATATCTTCACAGTAAGTGCGAAAATTGCCAAAGTTCTCTCCATATGAACATAAGTAAATTAAAACTGTACGAAATATAAAAACTTCAGTGAAAGTTGTATCCCATCTACACATAACAAGTGCTCTCTAAAACATCCCCAAATATATGCCAAATGGAGCAAGTTTGCATTTAGAGGATACAAGTATACGCAGGTAATTTATGCTGGACTTTCTCACAAAAGAGCAGCAACATCACAGTACAAATTAGATCTTATCTAAGCGCGGAGTAATTCCTCTCAGATCCAACTCTTGCGCGCACAAGGGCACGTCTTGTTCTTCATTATATCACATAAAAAACTACATTGTTACACATATTCAACTTCCTCTCCTAAAACTCATCCACATAACTATACCAACATAAGTGGTCTCCAGTGTTAACATTCGTGTTGAGCACATCCTTCAAAGTTTATTGTATGGCCGGAAAAAAATGTAAACCACATCTCGAATCGGATGGCTCCTCTAACTACAAAAAAACATCCATATACAACTGTCTCTTTTTCGCACCATGACGGGGACCATTTTTACATCTCGATTTGTGCGCGGAAGGTTTAACTGTTGGAGCCGCTGCAGCTTTTAGTCACCATTTTTAGCTGGTTGTGCTGAACTAATAGTAGCGGTAGCACACAGGAGAGGGCAATGGCCAGCGATCCTCCATCTGATTCACTTGCCCATATGAAGGCTGCCCGTGCCGGAGTGGACTGAGAACTGGCGCCGAGATGAAGCCCGGAGCTGCATCCAAGGAGGTTCTGTATGGGGAGGAGCCATGACTTGAACGGTTGTACCAGTGCTCTGCTCCTGCGTTGTAGTACTCGCAGTCGTCGGCCACTGCACCCACTGATCTTTTCTCGGGATCTCGTTGCTGGATACCATCGTATGACGACCTTGTAATGTGCCTCTGATTTTGATTTGAAGTTTGTGACCTTTGTTTGTGATAATTAGGCTCTCTGTAAACAGAGATCTCTGAGTGACGAGCATGTGACAAGTGTTCTCGGCTATTCTGAGACTGGTCGACGGGAGGATCGCTCGGAATATGGATACTTTGGAGGAGCGTCCTGCCCCTCCAGAACTGCGAACCTTTCTTGATTCTCTTGACTCTCTTGAGCAGCCATTGAGGTTCTAAATTGCTGGAAATTGTCACTCTTTGGTTGTGTTGATCACACACAACCTTGTAAACGCCGACGATGTTCTCTAGCTCTTCTTTCACTTTCTCCTCGCACTTTCCACAGCATAGGGGCACCATAAACTCGACAATCTGAAAGAAAAGTTTGTAACTTGGTTAGTACATGAACCATGTTGTTGCCAAAAAGTGTTCCAGAACCTAACAGCTTTCGCATCAATGAAAATACGTATCACTGCCACTTGGTCAGGTGCTTACGGGTACGTTCATAAATGTGTTCGACAATGGAGTTCGATCGACAGATAGGCGCATCGTGGGAGTATCGCTGTAGGTATATGCGTGATGGTGATCCACAGTCGTCATGGGAAGCTTCCTCAAAGGGTAGCTGGACCCTGCACTGGGCAGATTCTCAGTTCTCGCTGGGACAAAACCGCTGGATGTTGATCGTATTTGACGAACGCATCCACGACGAGAAAAATGGGAATGACCCTCTTTCTGACTCTCCACCATCCACTGGGGCTCATGTCCCCCATAAAAAGTCTGCACACCAACACCATCATCTTGCTTAAGCTCAGACCGTGCGCAAACTCTCAGGCACGTAAAATTATCATCACAAAACTAGGATTTCCTACTCACGACTAGTTTTAAGCACGACTCAAAGACACAGTACAGAGGTAATGTCATACCTCCGGGATGACGTTCGACATGATGTCTGCAGAGCAAGAATCCGGCCAACACTGAGACTCCTCAGCAAGTCGAAGAAAAAACAGCAAAAGCTGAAGCTCGTCTCAAGGTTCACAACCGTGGATGAACTTGAACGCCAGTACACTCAGAGCAGTCCAGGAGGTCCACTGAAACCCAGTATTAACAACCTCTTGTTCACCATCTACACCCGCCGCGAACAGATGGGTTCTTCTTCCGTTACCGAAACCTGATGTCAAGTAGCACGTCACAGACTTGAATCAGCCAGAATGGAGGTATATATGTCTACGCAGAGATGTGTCCAGACGAGCCGTGGGAGCATGAGAGAAGGTAGGTGAGAGTGGGATTCGTTGCGAAGGTGGACGTTGCGAATAAATAATGAGCTGATGCATTTGCATCGATCGCGAGTTACGTGGCGAGAAGCGCAACGGTTCTGAGCAGGGCAGAACCGACCAGAGCCGCCCCTCCGCTGTGAGTGGCTGCGGAGGCATGAACTCTCCGGTGTGGGGCCTGAAATCTCGTACGACTTGGGGCCTCCTCTGCTACAGCCACAAACTGCCACAAAGCCACTCGAGCGTGCACTCCACAACGGGAAGCTCCGCTCCGACACGATGCGCTTGACGCACGCACCCCGTTTCCAGGCCCATGAAGATTTTTCCATGAAAATTGCGTACAAACGGATCTAAACAAAAAATGCTCATACAATTGGTACGAAGAGTGGAGTGTACAACTCTCTTTTTTGAGTTTTTTTGCAGTTTTAAAGTCGCCTTTACAGTTTTATCGCAGCTTTTGGGTTTATTTTATGTCGGGAAATCTTAGAGAGTTTGAAGAGAAGAGTTGTGGAGGTCTGATCGACTGGAGTCCAATTGGGCTACGTGTATTCTGTGTTTTAATTTTCTATGCCCTATTTCTTGCTTTTGACACTTAGTAATAGACAGCAAACTACAAAGATGGGTGAGTTAAAAAGTATCTGGTGGTGAAAGGTATAACAAAATGGCAAGGAACTTATGTATGTTCAAAGTAATACATAAATGAGTATTGTATTGTATTAAATAGATAGATAGATATACTTTGTTTAATTTAGGATAATGTTAAATAGACCCACATATTTACTCAATCAACTTATCCATGATGAAGAATATGATAATCACGATGAATGTGGTTGGTTTTCATTGATTTTGGATCCAACAGTAGAGAAATGATCTAGACACCATTTTGTTTTTTTCATGATGGTTAGAATGAGTGGGTAAATTTAGTAAAATCTTGCATCTATTTAACATTCTCCTTAATTTATAACCTTGGTAGATGAAAACTCTATGGATCATGTGAAATTTCTTAATTAAAGTGGAGTTATGTAATTTTATAATTTCTAAGTTATAGATGGGTACATGAAAAAAGACACTCTTTATAAGAATTGGCATTGGCTTTGCTAAGATTGTTAATTTAACATTTAGGGATATGAATGAAGGTTTTTGTTGAAATTTTGTTGCAATTTAAATATGTAGATATTGGCCTTAATTGTAATGCAAGATTATTTATTAATGAGCATGTTTGTATTGATTCAAGACATAGGTATAAAAATAGAAGTATATTTTAAACTTAGTTTAAAATAAAATTCTCAAGGATTGAAGTAGTTTTTTTTTGCATGTAGTGTCCATGACAAATACTATGAGACTATAAGTTCAAATCAATATCATCTTTTGTTCAAAGTCAAAGAATATTGCTTTTCCATTTGTTGTTCAATTCATAAAGCATAGTTTTGGATTTAATTCTTTAGATATAGCAATATCTAGAGAAAATTTAAGGAGCTCCAAGACAATTGTTGAAAACATCCATACTTTAGAAGTAACATTAATAAACAATGAGCTTGTGACAATATTTGTCTCTACAAATCAAATTGTAGATGTTGTTGGAAATTACAATTTGGCTTTGCCAAGCAAATAAGTTCAATACTATAAGCCTATCTTTCTTTCATTGATTTTAGATTTTTACAAGCATGATAGCAATAACTCCAAAATGATGTATTGAAAAAAATAAAAAATCATATTCTTTTACTAGGCTAGGATTATGGCTATTTAATGTGCAAATACAACACCTTTAATCTTAATATTGATCTCTTTTTTGTTAACAATGGGACTATTGTTGATAGATGTCATATATGTGGCAATCTCTTTCTCACCTGGATTTCTTTGTGTTATAGGTGCTTAAAAGATTGATGATCTTTGGATAAATGTAAATTCTAAATATATAAATAAATGATCTCTTCTTTCATTAGATCCACATTCATCTATTTGTTATTTGTTGTAGTAGGAATCAATACTCAAATTATAAAACTTTTCACTAAATTCCTCACTTAATTTTTAAAAATTTATTAGTTTTTAATTAATTATATATATAAAAAGATTATAAGTTTATGCATTATTTGTTCCAAAAAATATTATAAACTAAACAATGAATATTATTTAAGAGATATAAATTATATAAAGTAACTATATATATATATATATATATATATATATTCATGTATATTCTTCAAATTCTCCATTCTCTTCTTTTATATTAACAAGGCTTGTCTTTAATATCAATATAAAAAATAAAAATAAATAAAAAAAAGAAGAAAAAAGAACCTTTATGTATTCAATGTTTATATATACAAAAGTGTATTAGTGCAAGTATTTTTTCTCAATTAATCTTAAATTGTTTGATTTTTTTTATTGCCTCTACAGTAAAGAGTAACATTATAATTAATTGTTTGATATAATAATTCATAACCTTGTATGCAACATTATAAGTTACATTATGAGTCTTGTAAGCAATGTCACAACTAGTATTGTAAACCTTGTAAGCAAATAGTCACAGTGCTATTAAAAGAAGTTGTGAAATTTTTTCCATTAGAAAAATAAGTCATATCTTGGTTACAAAAATTAGTTTTTTTTTTTTGTTTGTGAGTTGTGCTCGCTTTGTAAAGAAACTTTAATTATTCTGAAATTTATAATGAATATGTTTTGAGATATAATTGACGTATTTTGTTTGTTGTAGTTATTATAAACCTGACAAAGAAAAAAATAATTTTTTATATCAGAAGCAACATCAAAGTACTTAAAAATTTTCTGATTCTTAAATTTATTTGGAAGCAACATCTACATTTTCCGGATTTCTCAATTCTGTTTAAAGTTGAGGTGTCAAATTTATATAGGAAAATGAGAAATACTTGATCCATGCTTTTTGGTATATAAAATAAAACCATTTTGAACTGTGTTGTACATGAAGCAAGTATATGATGTTGCATACTGAACATATAAATATTACATTAATGTATTTTATGAGTTTTACTGTTAAGATATGACATACATAATTTATATAAAATATGGGCCTTTGTAGCTATTTGTTCTTGTTGTTGGGGAATGATACATAAATACATGTGGTGCAAAAGAACATGCAATGTAAAAATAGAAATTATTACACTTAAAAAATATAATTTTAATAATAGAAATATTATTTTTTTAATTTGATGTCATTCATTTCTTAATATGTATTTTAAAACTTTTTTGTAGATACTATTTCATGTATTAGTAGTTGATATCAGTCTATGATTTATTTGCAGCTTATTTTATGATTGTGGTAATGAATTTTGAGCATTTATATAATTTCTGTTTGAATACATAATTATTTCTTGAATCTTTAAGTTTCTTCATGTGTTTATACCTTGAGGTATTATCTATTATGAATGTAGCTGTATATGCCATCTTTTATTTAATGATATACCTATTTAATATAAAATATATTGTGAATTCTATTTTAAATTTATTATTATTATTATTATTAATTTCTTTGGCTGTGTCATTTTTTGCTTCTGGCAATTCGAGTAAAAATTTAGCAAACATTCAAGCAGTTGGTGTGGATGAATCCTTAGATGATTAAACATGTAAACCTCATTCTCTATATCACACTTTTGCACCACTTTCACCAGATAATGCTAACAATACTTCATCTGAAACTAAATCATGAACATTGAAAACAAAAGGGTTTACAAAGATTTTACTTATTTAATGGAGAATAAAATAAGAAAATGAGTAATTAAAAACCTTAAATGAAGTTGAATTGGCAACAAATATGTTAAAATTTGGTAATAAAAAAATGGAGACTATGAAAGAAATTAGAAATTCAGGTTGGCATTCCGAACATAAAAGAAAAAAGAAGAATCAAAGTACAAGTTTATAAAATTGAAGATTGACTAAGAAAAGATACTAGCTATTTTTTTGTGACCCACATGGTAGCCTAGTATTGAATTTCTTAGAGTAATCTATTATATATGCTCTAAAACAAAGTCTTGAGAGAGAGATTTATATATATATATATATATATATATTTGAACACTTTTCTTGTTCAATATTCATATTTTTACACCATATATTTTTTTCATTGTAGTTTTTTCCTTACAATATAAGTGAAATGTATAATATTTCAATATTGTACATGTATGATATATTGTAGTTATAAAATCCTTTAAAAAATTAACATTGTGAGCAGTAATAATCTATAACTGAAACTCTATTGTATTTTAAAAAATGTACATACAGCTCAAATAATTGATTATTTGTCATGAATTATGAATTCTAAAAAACTTGATCAACAAAGGAATATAAACCACACTCTTGAACATTACTATTCTGGAACAAGAAATTCTGATATATTTGATATATTAGAGGAGAATGGACCACTATTTCTTGTTCACCACTCTACAAACTTTAATTTTTGAGAAATACCTTCCACAACACTCAAAATTCAAAAAGAAAAATCTCAAATCACTAGAAAATTATAGGCTTGAGATAGCACAGTTTATTTAACATAAATTACTACCTCAATTTAAACTTGAAAAACAGAAAGTTTGCATGCACAAATAATAAAAAAAAATGGCGATAAGACAAAAATGGAAAACTATATTTAAGCCACAGACGAGCTCTTTTCACACTTACGAACATGAAGTCCAGTAGAGACTTCAAGCTCATCGTCGTTGCATCAAGCCCAGCCGTAATGCAATAAAACTTAGGGCTCCCCAGCGATTTGGCGACCAAACTGATTTGGGGTGATTAGCTGCGATGAAGACAGTTCGCAGTATCGCATTCTTGTTATTTGAAGGTTAGAATCACCAGCGCCAACGACCGGAGTGCACTATCGTAAGATCTCTACGCACTGGCCTTAACGATCACTGCATTGATGAAATTCTTTAGGAATTGCGCCACCCCTTGCTATCGAATCCGCAACTCTGTTTTTCTCCGTCAATTTTTTCTTCTTGTCCTCCTCTAGTTTTTTGTATTCTTATTTTCTAAGGAGACGCTAAATCTGTACTCATTATTCGCAGCATCACGACCGGCTAACCTAGGGAATTGATTGATTAATGTAGTGCAGTTTGATCCTTGGCCGAATTGTGTTGCTAATGTATTTGAGTACGAGTGCTGTGAGCTTGCAAGAAGCAGAGCAGTAGGCACTGTGTAACGTAGTTCAAGTAGGTGTGCGACCACACTGGATAGTGTCACGTGTTCCTCTTCTTGTACGACCAGCGCAGAATTTTGCCTCAATGATAACCTTCCAGTATCAAGTCGCTGTAAATGGCGTGATTGCTTTAGGTTATCAATCTTGCGCTCGTCGCACAAAAACTAGGTTATCCAACTGTCGTCCCTAACCCTTCCACCGTAAGTATTGTCGAAGTTCTAGCATCCGAAGTGGTTTTAAGTGAAATCCAATTGCAGCTTTTTTCTTAGTATTTGTAGGCTTTGTGTTTGATGTCCAATTAATGATTATTTTTATAATTTTACTTAGTAATATCATGTTATCAACAATAACAACAACAATAATAAAAATAATCATATTATTTTATACATGTAGCCATGAAGGAGGAGTCTGAAAGCAGAAATGGCTAATGAGATAGTTTATCAGAAGGCTGATGCCTGAGAGCAATAGTGATATGCGCGGAAGCATTCGTTATGTCTTGTGTTTTACCGTGGTCAATTCCCGTAGAAGTATGTGTCATAAATTTTTTTATCCGAAAATATATACACGGTGTTCTAGTGGAAAAGAAAATATCTACATGTCCGCAGGAATCATTGTTTAATTAGATAACATTTACCCTGTAGTTAGTTTACGAGCTTTTTCATCCCTTGTGTGCAATAGAGCTTGTAAAGTTTTTCCCAAGGTTTAACTTTCCTGCTTTTATCTGTGTAGAGGTATTTAATGGCGCAGTAAATCCTTAAGTGAACGGGAGCTTGCCTCGAGGTTTTTTCGTTTATTTCTAACCATGGCGAACGTCCAGCAAGATCTTCAACGTGGTCTTCCAGTACGCCGCTTGGAAGGTCATACAGACTCTGTCTTATGCTGTGCCGCCCATCCGTCTTTTCCCAATGTCGTCACTTCTTCTAGCGAGGTAGCTATGTTCGCAACTTTCCGTGTTCTTCTGCCCTTTACTTGAGCCACATGTCAGCGCCTCTTGCCCACTGTGCACTATGAATTGAACTGAGATTTGCATGCTCTTCTGCACGATGAACCATTTGTCTTACGAGCTTAATATTGGAAGATTCCTTGCGAATTCGTTCTTTTATGGTTGCTAATGGATGAGCTACTTATGATCTCTTTTCGATCAGGATGGGAGCGTGTGCGTTTTTGACATTCGAACCACCACTTGTTGCCACAGGCTTCAGTATTTTGATGGCCAAGCAGTGGTTTCCGTTTTACCAACATCTGGTCCATCTCTACCCCTCGTCCTTGTCTTCCGTTTCGAGATATATGTTGAAGGATCTAAAATGGAAAGAACGGTCGTTTAACTTTTCTTTTCTTGAGTTGCAAACGAAGTTTTGTGGGTTGAACATAAACATATGAGTGGATTGTTGATGCTGGTGACTTGGTATAGGAAGTGAACATGTCCTGTACGCTGCAGCGGGTTCTACTGTCTACTGCCTGGATGTGCGTCAGGTATTTTTGATGTTCCTTGCACATACGATTGTCCTTTCTATATGTTGGTTCAAGTGGCTTTGATCATCCCACACGTGTGCTGTTTGCTTATACCGAGGCTTAAGTGCTGGTGAGCAGGCGATTTTGTGAAGCTACTGATGACTAACGGGTCAGTACGTTCGTCTTGAATGGAGGGCCCTACAGGGAGCCCTTTACAAACTTACTCATTCAACACCGAGGAGATCAACCAGGTGGATATCTTAAGTTGTTGATTTGTTCACCATTTTTCTCATGCATTGTGGTTAGGAGCATGTCTTGGTTCTCTGTCCACCTGGAGACCAGTGACTGCATTCTTCAAGATTCTTGAGGGTTAGATCTATCAGTCACCTAAAAGTAGAATTTTAGGGAGTTTTCCTGATTCTGGTCAGATACAAGTACATAGTTTCTGGAATTACGATGTGATCCAAATTGTCAGACCCGGTAACTTATGCATTTCTGTTATTGATGAAGGTGGCATTGAATCCTAAAGCGACGTATCTTGCTGCAGCAGATGACTCTGGAGCTGTGAAGGTAATTTTGCTACTTTTGTGTCTATGATATAGGTCTAAGCACGTGACATTGTATCTACATTGTACTACCTAATGAATCATCATATTCACTAGCTTTGATTAGTATGGCTAGTTATGGTTTGGTCATTGAAATGTCCATCTCATGGCAGTTTATAAAACATTTCAATGTGGTACGACGCTAGAGAAGTATCGAGTTAGTGGTGTGTGGCAACCCTAGGTATTTCAGAAGTGGATATCCTGCCCATGATTATTCAAACATGGGCTTGATGCAATGATATGTTTGTTGGTGGGCAGATCATAGATCTCCGTTCCCACAAGCTTTTCAAAACTCTACAAGGAGCTCATTCAAATGTAAGACTGGAGCATTTCTCTTTTTGGAATTACTACCCTAATTTTCTAGCTTGTTTAGTCTTATTGATCGAGAAGTAGATTTCTTTTGGAATGCCGCGTATTCTTCGGAAGGTTTTGGGGTTCTACTGGCTATGCTGATGTGTGTGCTTAAAATCTCGTGTGCAGCAATTTCTATATGTAGTGCACGAAGTTATGGTCTTCTAAGGAGATATATACGTTTTGTTTTGCTGATGCTCATTTCTACATTTTACAGATTTGCAGCTCTGTGCAGTTTCATTCTCGTAGGCCCTGGGAAGGTGAAAAAATTTGCGTCCATTTTAGGTTGAATCTCCTGATTGGTCTTGAATAACAAGTAGATTTGAGTTTGCTTGTCAACAGTGTGACAGCCATATCATGGTCATATTCTTTGGATTTCTTGTGACCTTAAACGGAATGAAAAACATACAATATTTTTCCTCCTAATAACTTGGTTTTTCATATTTCTTACAGTTGTAACTGGAGGATTAGATTCGAAGATAGTGAAGTGGGACTTTAATCGTGGAAGGCCATTGCAGGTCGTTGACCTTGGTAAGTTCTGTTCCTGTGTTTGACGTTTTATTCTTTGCCCATATTCACCTGATTAATATGAGCCACTTTATCCTCAAGTTATAAAATTGCGTTAGTTTTATGGATTTCGTAACTGTTTTTATTTTTAAAAAACTAGATTGGCAAATAATTTGTAATATGTAATTTGCTTATTACTTGTTCAGCTGCGACAGCAGTCACCAGTAATGAAGGAGTTGGGGGCTTTTGCAACCCTCCCTTCATTCATGCATTGGCTTCGATGGAAGGTGACGTCCCAGGTGAAGCTGGAAAATTACTGGCAGCGGCTCGGGGGGATGGAGCTGTTGATGTTTTTGACTTTGGTTTTGAGAGCAGTGATTCAAAGCAGTCCTCTCAGCCTGCTGTTTCAAAAAAGAAGGCACCAAACAAAGATCTAAAAGTGACTGGTGACATAACGAGTCCACCTCACTTGGATGCTTTAGTACCTGGAAGAAAGCGACATCTGCATTTCGGCCTCGGTGGTCATGCTAGCATTGTAAATCATGTGTATGTTTCTCTCAATCCACTGAACTGTTTAAGATTGCTGCACTGTTTGGGAGGTAAACAATCGGGCAAGAAGTAAAATGATGAAAAGCTAAAGTTTTTTAACTCGTCCTCCTCAGAACGTTTGCAAGGTTTGGTGCACGAGGCCAACTTTTAGTTTCCGGTGGGAATGACTCATTTATTAAAGTTTGGAACTGGACTGTTGAGGATAACCGACATTCGGGTGATGCTGGCACCAGCAGTCAAGGGCCTCTGGTACTGAATTTGAAGCACAAGAAAAAGGTGATTTTTAACTTACCTCATTTCAATTGCATCAGCACACAGATGTAGAGGTTTGTCATGTTAAATCAATGCTTAACATACAAGTTTTGACCCTCTAACCAAAATTTTCAGTTTTTCTTATTCTACCAAAGAGTGTAAGAACTGGCATAGACCCGCTTACTAGCTTGTATATTTCATTTGGAATCGTGTTCGCCTAACACAAGTACCTCCCATGTTATGTAGGTCAATTGGTTGAGCACGACATCTTCACAAACAGAGAATCTAGTGGTTGCCGATACTTCCAAAATTCTTAGTGTTTATTTTGTTTTGTAAGGATGCAGCCTTCCTGAGGGCGAAAAGGTATTGTAATGGCACTGCCTCTACAATTGGGATGTAGGAGTGTATATATGCAAACACATGAAACTCATTTGGCAATTACAATCAATTGCCGCACTGATGGGCACGAAAAGCATCGTTACATCTCTTCACTCTACTGGATTACTTGACCTGCAACAACTAAGATTTACACTAGGCACCATGAATTGTTCTGTTTTAGTCATGAATCATACATGTACCATTGTTTCATATGACCAAGTCAGTCCTTTTTTGAAAGAAGATATCTCAATTCTTAGATGTTCTACCTTTGTAAGTCATCAAGATCTTCTTGTATGTAGCAAATAGAGTTTGGAATATTAAAGTATATAAAAATGAAAGTAGAATAAATTATCAAATATTTGATATTATTTTAGGTGAATTGCAAGTGGTTAAAGAGATGGTTCTTGAGGTGTAGAAGGGCATCATACTATAAGATTAAGAGTTAAGAAACAAGGTTTATAAACCAAAGAATTTTTTAGGAGATATCCAAAATATAAATTAAAGCATAAAGTATATATGTTAAGTGTTTTTTTTTTTTTGTTGAATTAATTCTTTAGTGGACTAATTTTGTGGTTATAAGTATTAAAGAAGCTTATGATACTTAAAATGCCTATTATGGTATTAAGAGGTGATTTTTGTGTGTAGAAGTGTTTTAAGAATAATTAATTTGATTTGAGATGTTTCATTTTTCATAGCACTTGTAAAAAGTCTTAGAAATAAAAATTGAAAGTATTTGACAATAAAAATATCAATTAATTTATAAAGAAGGTATTTTGAATTTGTAAGGTAGTAACATTTTTTTCTATTGATTTTGAGAGCTTTAGGATTTTTTTTTTTTTTTTTTTTTTTTTTTTTTGTTTTTATTATATATCTCTACTTTAATCATAGCTTTAAGTGAAGGTGAGGACTTAAAGATCATTGAGAAGTTTTGAGGAAAACAATTATACCATTAAAAGATAAAAATTGAGCTTTTATTGGCTTTATAAGATTTTTAGAATATTGTAGATTATAATGAACACCTTCTAAGCATGCATGCTAATATGAATAAAAAGAAAGACTTTAAACAAAATAAAAAGAAGGCTTTTGATATAATTGTCACTAATTTAGATAAAGCCACAACTTCTTCAATATTATTTCTTGCAAAAGACCATAAAAAGTACAATAGATGATGATGATATTATCGTGACTTTATTCATAAGACCTTCTAAATCATACAATTACTTTATAATAGAATTAAATTATATTAAATTAAAAAACTCACATTAGATTACGTAATGACAAGACTTGCCAATAAAGTGATAAAAAATTAAGAAAAAAAACATCAAAAATGAAGATTTGGCTCTTTTTCTTAGACAAGGCAAATGAAGTTATTTTAATCTATATAAGAATGTAAGTAACAATGTACAAACTTATTTCATTCGTAAAAAATCACGTCAATTTGGATAAAATTGCTACAAGGTCAAAAAATGAAATAAATAAAATGCTAACAATGCATATGATAAATACAAAAGAAATGATTTTTTATTCATGGTAAGAAAAAGCACCTCCATGTCCAAGTCAATTGTTGATTTGTATGGATATAATTCTATACATGTATTTATTTAATTTTTTATGAAGAAATTTTAATAATAAGAATTTTAATATGAGATAATAATATGGTACAAGCCATTAGAATTAGCTCTATTCTAGTGAGGATTATTGGAGAAGGTCAAACTAAAAAAATTAATATAAAGAATATCTTATGTATGCACAATATAAAGAAAAATTTCTTTTCAATGAACAAACTTAATTTACATATTTTTAAGGTAAAATTTGATATAAATAGATATATTTTGAAGAAATTATAAAGAAATGATGTTGCCAAAGATTGTAAAGCTAGAAACTCTACTTCATTAATTATAAGAAGGTGAATGAAGTTAAAGTGGCAATATTTGTTAAATTTCCAAAGAATTAAGATAAATTTGACATTTAGTATTGACTTCTTAGTTGTTTAAATGGCAAGAGTATGAAAAAACTCCAATCCATAGTAAGTGACTTGAATATTAGTTAATTATGTAATAATGCCATATTGCTTGCTTCTAAAGGTTGTATTATATGTAAATAATAAAGAACTTTATTTTCAAGTAGAATTGTAATATGTAAAAGTAAGCTCATGAAAATTTTGCATTTAGATGCTCATGGACCTATGAGGATGACATCAATTAGAGAAGTAAGATAATTTTTTATATTTATTGATAATTTCTTAAGAAAAATATAAATTTTTATTTTTAAAGCCAAAATTAAATATTTTTTAAAATTTAAGGAATTTAAAAGACTTATAAAAAAACAATGTAAGTTTAAGATCAAGATATTATATACAAACAATAGAAGTGAATATTTACTAAAGAATTTTGATGATTTTTTAGAGATTTAAGATATTACAAGATAAACCTTGATTCTTTATATTCCACAACAAAATAGATTTGTTGAAAGAGTAAATCAAATGATTATAAAGATAACAAAGAATATACTCAATACCATAAACATGACTTGATTAGAAGTTGTGATAACTGTAATATATACAAAGAATAAGTACCTTATAAATGCACTTATATTAATGACTATATAAGAAGTTTAGAGTGGAAAGAAACCTTATGTTTTATACATGAAGATTTTTGGATGTAGTATTTATTGAAGAAAAGAAGTTTAAAAGCTATAAACACTTAGAATCAGCAAGGATTGTACTCTAAGAGAAGTGTGGACAAAGATAATTCTTATTTCCAATACCTTTTACTTATAAGTGGTGGTTTCCTTATCAACGAGGCAACTTCCATCTTTTTGATATTACATCCATTTCTACTTCATCCAACTATATCCTAGGTGCCACCATTGTAATTTCTTTTAATTCTTTGTTGCCTTTTGACTATTAACAACATAATATGCTTAATCTCTAGGTGGTTGTAACTAAGCAAGTACTTGCTGATCTTCAACACTCTCACTTTGCTAATTTTTAAAAGGCTTTCAATCCTAATCTTTGTATCAACTCGTGATGTTTATCCTTCACTAATGCCTTTGTAAGTACATCAGGAAGCATGTCATTTGTAGCATAATATTTCATATCTATTATTCCATCTTCAATCTTTTCTTCTATGAAATGATGTTGAATATCAATGTGCTTGGTCCTTGAATGGTGTTTTCTTTTTTTTTGATTCTTGACAAATGCAAGACATCCTTCATTCTCACACATAATTAGAGTTGCTTCTAATTGCACTAGTCCAATGTCTTTTAAGAGCTGCCTTATCTAAAATGCCTCTATTGTACAATGACTTACTGCCATGTATTCAGCCTTCATCATTGATCTTGCAATGATAGGTTGTCTCTTATAATTCCATGAAATAACTCCCATTCTAATGAAGAAGACATACCCCATTGTAGATCTTCTATCATTTACATTTCTAACCTAAACTGCATCACAATAATCTTATAAATCAATGTTCTTACCACCAAGTGTCATGAATTTAGAATATCAATTGGAAATCTAAATAGAAGCTCAAGAAGAATCGGCAAGAACTAGATTAATCAGATGAGTACAAAAACAAGACTAGAGAGGTGAACTAAGGCTCCAATAAGTGTGTTGTCGAGATTGAGGATCCCCTCAATCTCGGCTCCTATATATACTACAAGCTAGAAAGCTTCTTAAGTAGCTTCCACAAACTAAGAAGCTTCTCAAGCAGCTTCTACAAGCTAGGAAGCTTTTGAAGCAACTTCCATGAACTTGAAAACTTCTCAAGTAGCTTCTACAAACTACAAAGTTTGTCTAGAACCTTCTAGAATCTTCTACAACTTCCTAGTATATGTCCTTGATATCACCTCCTTTTTAGCTTTGAGGTCTCCGAGAAGCACTCCTATTGCGAGTCAGTACCAACGTAAGAAGTTGGAAATTTGTCGCATAGTATTTGCAATATACTCCAATTGTTGTTCACGCAATAAGTAGTTCATTGGTCTTTGTAATTAACAATAGTGTCCTACGCCTTCGATTTTTGACCACGCATGAACTTCTATGTCTTCATTGTGAAAACCCCTTACAAACACTTCTTTGAGAAGATCTCCATAGGTAGGTTCTACCTCAAACACAATCACTAGCGACTTGTTACTAGCTATCCTCCGTCGTCTTTGTGGTACAAGCGGTTATTCATCTCGGAGTCGTCTTTGTGAGATACTCAGTTGAGAGGACATAACTGGTATGGTATCTATCTCTTGGCTATCCATATTAGACCAAAAAAATAAGCACTAAACATGGAAGAATGGGCTCAGGTTACAGATTTATAGTCTCTAACTATGTCTTTTAGAGGTTCTTTCTTCCTCTTCTTTGAAAGGCCAAGGATTAAGAGGCTTCAAGGAGAAGGGACTTCATTGAAAAAATCTCATCGAAAAGGCTTAGGTTTTTGAGGATAGTATCGATGAAACTCTTGTACCTTTTGCAATGCATTGATAAGATTTTTTGCTAGTTCTCATTTGCGCTCATTGATATCATAGTCGCTCCAATACACTAAGTACTCCAATTTCTTCTACTTATGCCACAAAACTAGTACCTTTTTCACCTTGTATTCCTCGTGGTTCTCAATTTCAATACTAGGTAGTGGACATTATACTCTTTCAAGAAAAGATGACTCCCGATAAGATTCTAATAAATAAACATGAAAGACTAGGTGTACCTTCATATTCACCGGTAACTCCAGACGGTACGCCACTAGATTGATTTGCTTCTAGATGAAAAATGGTCCCAATCTTTGGTAGTCCAACTTATCACATGGCCCTTTAGTTTTGATATTCTATCGAAGTAGCCATACTTTATCTCCAATTTTGAAAGTAGGTGCCTGATTCTGAAATTTGTCTACGGATGCCTTGTAAGCTTTTTGGGCGGTTTGTAATTGAAGCTTCAACATAGTTTGAAGCTCTGATAGTTGTTTCACAAATCCTTTAGATGCCGGGTTATTATTAGTTGACAGATTCAACAAATCAAGCTTTGGATGATATCCATAGTTGAAAAAGAATGATATTTGTTGAGTCGATGTATGAAGGGTGTTCTTATATGCAAACTCAGCTAACGATAGATATGCAGTCCATTCATCTTGTTGA